ATTGTATATTTTTTAGATTTTTCGGTAAGAGAATTAACTACTTACGTAGAATCTTGTTTTAAATTTTCAATCCTTAGCTATAAAAACTGAACATTTTATAATTTATTAATTACGATGGTTAATAATTTTCGAGATTTTGAAAAATTCTGTCAAAATTCGATGTTAAAACGCTTATAAAAAAAAATTGTGCCTATGTATTTTTAATATTTTTCAACTGATATTGTAACAATATATCAGGAGCCTTGTATTAAATTTTTACACTTTTTGGCCCAACAGATAAAACTTAATTGATATTTATAGAAAAAAAAAACTAAAAAAATTGAAAACTGAAAATGTCCGTAAACGGCTCAAAAAGAGTCAAAATATTTTCAAAATTGTATGGTGTATAGGAAATGCTAATATAAACATTCAGTGAAATTTTCATGTATCTACAGTAATTCGTTTTTTAATTACAACAAAAAAAGGATATTGCCACATAAGAAATCGAGTGAATATCCAATGTTGTAAAAATTTGAATGTGAAAACTACTGGGAAATTTATACTTTTGAGTTTTGACCCTCCAAAGTACCAACTAGATTCACTTTCCTATCAGAAAAGCTACTGATGAAGAAAATCCAAGCACTTTTACTGTCCCAAAACGTGATGACAGACACAAAAAAAAAATAAAAAAATATAAAAAAACACATCATTGTAAAACCAATACATTCATCGCTCCGCTCAGAATCTAAAATGTATAAAATATATTAGTTTAATATTATTTGCAAGAAAACGATGTCATTTACCATACTTTATTATATCACTAATCGAAGACTACCTACCTAGTATCTACCTACATTAATCTATGATATACTATAGTATAAGCGTGTACATTTGCACCTGCTGACAGTCGTGGACCCGTGGACGGGTATTTTGTCCTTTTTAATTTGTAAATCAATGTTATTAGTTATTAATTATCTCGATCAATTTGAAATTTGAAAATTTAAAACATTAAAAATACGCCCACGAAAATTTTACACACGGGGATAAATTCCCGACTTACCCCCCATCTAGATCCAGCCCTGACACACACAATATAATAATAACTATAAACAGGGTGTCCCTCTAGGATTTACCCCTTGCAATATCTCCTAAGATAATATTATAAGTAGGTATATCATAAATCTGTTATTTTACTAAAAAAATTAATTTTATAATTATAATAAATTAGGATTATGATAAAATACTTCAATCAGAGTACGGACAATTAATTAATATAATTGCTGTTAATTATAGGTACCTAAATCATCAGTTTTTACAGTGTGAGGTATGAAATAATTTAAAAATTGAATTGTAGCTACAGCTAATGTAGTAATATACCTATTATTATGAGTAATACCTATATTAACGCAAGTGAAACAGAAACTAACTACAACTATAACATAAGCGTCATAAGTATAACTAAGGACCTGCAGGCACATCTTAATTGGTTGACGGAATATCACTTAGCCCTCTAAGTGCTGTGTTGTCAGCTATTTTAAGTCGACATTACTTTGCTTTACTTTAAACACTATAGGTAAATACCAAACATAAAAAAAAATATAAAGCTTATTGGATAGGTACCTACAATTATTAAAAAAATTCACTGTCGAATTGTTACAATATAAAAAAAAACTAGTTATACTCGATTAAACATTTACACAATAAACAACAAACGATTTTGGTCATCAGCTTCCTATAATAATAATAATAATAATAATAATAATAATAATAATAATAATATTTGTAGCCAGCAGTATTGGTGGTATTAAATATCAACACCACATCAGGTTGACATTATTTTTTACAAATTTTATTTATTGTCGAAAACGATATGAATAATCCAGCTGTAGATACTATGACATGGTGTTCGCATGCGGCCTATTAAACGTATAGGTATACAACACTATGGACAAACCTAAAAACTGACACCGGTGATAATTTCTAATGAGTCGGCACAACTTGTGTATACGTTCCAATTGTTAAATATATAGGTTTACCTACCTACATCGTAATATAGGTACGGCGACGTGTCTCTAGACGTATACGAGTAAGTTTTAAGATCTATGTCTAGCTATTGTGTATATTACACTCCATGTAAAATAATTATTATAATTTATTATGATGTGGCGACGACTCGCTGTATAGCCATAACGTTTTGCAATTATAATATTATACTTTTGCCCTCCTCCGAGGGGACCACTCGTGGACAGGCACGGATCCAGAGCAAAGATCTAGTGGCAGGGGGGGGGGGCAACAATTTTTGTACAACACTATTACATAATTTTATAAGAAAATATTATACTTTATTCTTGATTTATGAATGTATTGTCATAATAATAAGTATAGGTAATTAATGTGATAAATAAATTATTGATTATTTAATATATAAGGCGACAATTTGAAAAGAAGTTTAGATTTTGTTTATTTGTTATTTAATATAGGTACAATATTTATATGTATAAAAAAAATATGTTTGTGGGGGAGGGCTAGGACCTCTGGATTCGTCCCTGCTAGTGGAAGATACAAACCCAGTATAAGCACGTAATATAGTTTGTGTGTTGTGTATATATATCATACCTACACGTATGTATTATAATTTGCAGCTACTATACGGACTATACGGTGTGAGCATAATAACATAATTTTTTTGACGCGATGTCAGCGTGATGTGGGTAAACGAGCGTGTTTAGTCTACGCAGTCTTGGTACCCGAGTGCAGCGGATTTACGACTGCGGGACCTGGTCGACGACGACTTAAATGGATGTGCAATCGCAGAGAGTGAGCCGGGGAAATGAAAAAAAATCCGTTTTATTATTCACCTCCAACGAACGCACGTGACTAATATCACACGGCAACTTGTAGGACGTATTACCCACAATGATGATGCGTCCGAACTGCTATAGGTTAGGTACCCAATAAAATTTCATAAATTTCAATGTTATATTTATTTTCGGAAAAAGTCTTATTATTTATTGTTTACGTCTGTACTGCTGCTAAAGCCCAATTTGAGGTAGGTACACGTTTTAAAAATTATTATTTATAATCTGAAAACCGGGCGATGGAACGTAGGTAAGCAAAATATATTATTGTTTTCTAAACAGGACAACGACTACCTACCTACTATTTAGATAAAGGTCTATTCACAATACGAAGGAACGGTGACGGGACGGACCCATTGCGGAATTTTATCCTTTGGCGTCACCTGTGCAGATGCTTTCACACTTATAACGTAAGTAGGTACGGAACGGATAGTATAAATACTGTATTACGCTCTTTATTCTATAATTCAAATTTAATCATACATATATATATATATATATATATATCCCAGGGCTTACACGGGGGGGGGGACGCTGCCCTCTGCATTTTGTCAGGGTCAATTATCATAATCATTATGTACCTACCTATTATAAAATGTATAAAAATTAATGTTATCAGAACTAAGAACGCAGCTTTAATAGACTAATGATTAGCGTATTTGAGTAATTACTTAGGTAAATACTTTAAAAAAGTATTTTTTACAACCAATAAGTAGGTAATAATTATATAGTAAAATGCGAAAACAAAATGTGATTATATCCATATCCGGCCCGGCCACTCATTCCCACTACAACGATTCAAAGGAAAACCCTGGATTTTTTCAGGGTCAATTATCATAATCATTATGTAGGTACCTAGTACCTACCTACCTATTATAAAATGTATAAAAATTAATGTTATCAGAACTAAGAACGCAGCTTTAATAGACTAATGATTAGCGTATTTGAGTAATTACTTAGGTAAATACTTTAAAAAAGTATTTTTTACAACCAATAAGTAGGTAATAATTATATAGTAAAATGCGAAAACAAAATGTGATTATATCCATATCCGGCCCGGCCACTCATTCCCACTACAACGATTCAAAGGAAAACCCTGGATTTTTTCAGGGTCAATTATCATAATCATTATGTAGGTACCTAGTACCTACCTACCTATTATAAAATGTATAAAAATGAATGTTATCAGAACTAAGAACGCTGCTTTTATAGACTAATGATTAGCGTATTTGAGTAATTACTTAGGTATATACTTTAAAAAAGTATTTTTTACAACCAATAAGTAGGTAATAATTATAGTAAAATGCGAAAACAAAATGTGATTATATCCATATCCGGCCCGGCCACTCATTCCCACTACAACGATTCAAAGGAAAACCCGTGAAAGAATCGTTGCGAAGATTATATTTAGCACCCGTCCACGGTCCATTATCCCGTTCCGTAGTCGTTCCCGACTAATATGAACGTTTATATTTAAAATTACAGGAACAATATTTTCTCCAGGCTCCGAGGGTTTTCTAGATACCTAAACAAATACATGATATTGTAAACTTAAATGGATATTAAATCGTCCTAAGACACTATTTAGACAAATCGATGTTGTTATAACATCAACGCTCATAAATAATATTATTCCATATTATAATTTATAATAATTTGTGTAGTGAGTGATTTCACAGATTAATCAAAAATAATATTATGTCTTAATACGATTAATCACATGACAAGTATTATTAATGATTAATAATATCGTATTATCGTCGTGTACGAAAAACATCGGTTGAATTTCGACGCTCACTGCGCATGCGTCAAGGAAACCACTCGTATTATCAGGGGGACCGACCTGCGCGGCCAATCGCGGCGAGGAACCGCGCGACTACCTTCTACCGCCACGACTGTCGATAAAGATCGCGTCGTACGCGAATCGTCGCCCGTGGCCCGTCCGCCCGACACCGCCGTCCACGTGCTCAGTAGCGCATATCACTGTTTACGTGTGCACGTCGTACTCGAATCGTCGCCCGACACCGCCGTCCACGTGCTCAGTAGCGTCATAATATCACTGTTTACGTGTGCGCGTCGTACGGCATCTTTGTTTGCGATATCATCGTAGAGTGTGGAATATCGTTGGCACCGTAACGGCGGCTTGGCGATACGCGAAACGAAATGGCAGGCGTCAACCGGAGATTGGAAAACGTCAACAACAACAACAACAACAACCGCGTCGTACGACGTTCCCGGGACGTCAACAACAACGACATCGTCGACGAATCCGACCCGGACACGGTGAGCGCTTCGGAGACGGAAAGCGACCTGGAACCGGATCGGGACATCGATGCGGAATTGCACGCGGCGTGGGAGAGGGTATGCGTCAATATGGTACGATTGAGGCACATGTTTGGTAGACCGAACGCACGAAACGCACCCAGAACCATCACGATTAAGAAACTATTGCAACAGCATCGGCACGGAAGACGACGACCGGAATGAATATTCGGTTCCTGTGTCGACGACCACTGCCGAGTTACTGCGATTGCGAGGTTTGGCCTGTGTTATTATAATGTCGAACAATGTCAAATCAGTTGTATTTCGTGTCCCATTGTTTCCGTGATAATTGTTTTTATTATTATTGTTCATACCAACCAAATACAAACCAATTTGATGCCTAATTACCATCTGTATTTATAATATTATTATCTCAAACAATTACCCGACTAATTCTCATTGCCATTGATTATGAATATTAGTATTTATAATCAATGTTACCTATTACCTACACACCTGTCTAGAACAAACGGTTTGGAATTATTTATTTATTAATAATATTGTTTATAATATTATTTATATTATTATTACAACATACTATAATGGTACTTCACTGATAATGGTGTTACTAGTGTAAAAAATACAGTAGGTATTCTTACTATAAATTATTAATAATAATAATAATAATCATAATAATCCGAGTAATAATCTTTATCGCAACAATAGAATATAATATACAATACCTATTTACAAAAATAAGAGTTAGATATTGCAGCACTCCCTATAAGCAAAGCTTGTACTGGGAGCACGGTTCTTATTATTTAATGTGAATACATAATGGATAAATATTGAATAATAATTAATTTAAAAACAAAACAATTTAAAATAAGAGTAAAATCTAAGAAAAAAACCAATTACCATTATAAATTATCAAAATTACAGAATAGTTATAGGTATATACATTTTTTACATAATTTTTAAATAATAATACATTTTTAAAGTTGTTTATATCAATATTTAGTGAACGACATAGTTTCAAATCCGTGAATAACACACACTATGTTGACCGAATACTTTGTTAAGGTTTGGTAGAAGTATATTAATATTTTGTAAATGGTACATAATAATGTATTCTTGGAAATAATATAAATCATATTTATACTATATATAATATATATGTTATTATGTATATTATTATTAATGTATATGTTATATTATTATGGTATATATATTATGTTTATTGAACCAAATGGTGGCAAATACTTGATTGCATTATGAAAAAAGTGTTGTAAATATCATATTATCCAGGTCAATTAGGAGTTTGGCATTGGCTCTGAAGTACAATTAAAGTCAACGGTAAGTGATAAGAAGAACTTGACACAAGAAATGAAAACAGTATTTTGAACGATAGTACCTACATAGCTCTTCTGTTACTTCAATTATATTACAGGTTCAAAAGAAAATTGTTGGATTACAGGTAAGGTAGTTCAACCAGTATATTATCATAGGGTAGATCAGTGCCGATAACAAACATATAAACTGAAATATTCTCATTTAACTTATTTTATATGTCAAATATTATAGCATTAAAGGCTGTTGTACATGGTTAGAAAATTTCCATTTTATACTAGCCTGATACAGTTATACATTTTAAAAATGTATTTAATGGTAGAAAAGCAAAATGATGTACCCTACACAAAATAGATATTTTAACTGCTAATGACGAAGACATAGTAGGTAAATAAAAATTGTTCCCAAGTAACGTACACCCTCAAACTATTAACAATCTGATTGTTCCTGAAAATTGTATTTTTGTGAGTTAAACCAATTGGCTTTTTCGTCATGTTATTCTACTACTGAAAAACAATAGAATATGAACAGGACAACACTTAAAACATTAGAATATGGTATAGGATTTGTCTCAGAGGTATGACTACAATTTTAACTAAAACTGAATATAGTCAAATTTCAAAGTCTATTCAAATACAAGTTTAGAATACTCACCAAAGTGTTTAGGTTGTTATTAAACTTAAAATGTATCTAAAGAAATGTCAACTGCATAAAAACTATCAAGTGTCTGCTGTCAATATTGTACCTTATGGCTAATATAGAACAATTATTCATAATCAAAATCATGTAAACATTATGATTGGTTTTTGCCCCATAACTAGAACATTTTAGTTACTCTATTATTCTATTTAAAATGTTATTTTTAAACGATTTAATTTAGAAAATTATAGTTTCACAAATACCTATTATAATTATTAGGAGAATTTTAAATTCTTATTATCAAGCATTAATCAGTTGATACATTTTTGAAATACTAAAGCAAACATAACATACATACAATATTAATAAGGCATGATGAAATAAACTAATATACACAACAAAAAAAATGTTAAATCATTTAACTAATAGGTAATTCTGCTCATGAAACTTAACTGCTATAATATTAATATATGTAAATTGTAATTATTTACATAATATTATAGTAGTTAAGTCAAAAACAAAAATATTTTCAAATGTTATTAATTATTAATATTACCTAGATCTCAGATTAACACTGATTTATCACTAACATTAATAATATAATATTTAAACCCAAAATATGTAAGAAAAAGTACTTATTATTTAGATACATAAAAAAAAATTGAAAATTAGAAACAGATGGGGCAAAAGTATTTCCATTACATGCTTATCAAGAAGATGAAAACAATATTAGAATAAAATATGTGGTTTTCTGGTTGACATGTGTTTAAGTTAATTACTGTGAATAATCATTCATAACTAAACAACCCAGTTGAATAGTCAATATTTACATAGAAATTAATCATTCAACTAGCTATTTTTTTCAAAGGAAGAATTTTCACAATTTATAATATGTTTATAAATACCAGACCAATTGATAAATAAATTGTAGTTGGAAAAAATATGTATAATTTAAAATAAAATGTCCAAAATTACTTATTTTTTTAAAAGTTCTATGCTGTTTTAAGGCTAGAATAATTTATTTATTCTTAACAAATACCATTCTAATGTATTTATTATTTTTGTAGTTAAGTATTATTGTTTATTATTAAATATTGGTTACATATTTAATACTATAGGTTTAATTGAATATAATTAGACCATCTGGGGCATAATAAGACAAGTTTCCACATATCTGTTAAAGTATTACCAATGTCTGGCTATAGAATAAAATATTATGTTTGTTTAATATTTATAATATGTTTTTTTTTTTTTTTTTGTAAAATTTTCATAAATAGGTTCCTATGTTGATATATTTGAAAAAATATAATATCTATTGGGCATTAATTGTATGTCTGATCATCTTTACCCCTTGGTGTGGGTAAGAAGGGCAAATTCGTTTTTGTTTAAATAATTTTTTTGACTTCAATAATATTTTTAAATATTTTAAGGTGAATAATTTTAAAACTATGGAACATTGACTTATAAATGGTACAAAAATTCATCATTCTACAATAAGTTAAACATAAAGCCTAGCCACGGTTCCCCTAATTATACTATGTACTAAACTGATGATAATTTCTTAAAAAAAAAATGTTCAATTGAACATAATTAGTAAAAACAGCCCACAGAAATGTCCCAACTTGGTCGTCATTTTTAAATACAAGGCCGGGCAGTGGCCGGGGGATAAAATTGTTATTGCTCGCGTCTAAACAAATACGTTTCATAATAACGCTACATAAACAAAGCTGCGATCTGAAACTATCTGGAACTATTTTAATTAATATTAATAGGTATAACTTTGTCCGATGTAGTTGTATGGCATCTACTGGCAACTATCTTTTCATATGTAAATTAATGTTAAAATGTCGGGCGCTGCCACGTAACAAAGCCACACCCATACGCACTATTTGGCCGCCAGTACCGATCTCATTCAGAACAGACTATACAGGTGGTTTTGCTGAGCTTAAAATGTTCTATGTTACGCACTTGTAAGACGGAGACAACAATTAATGCGGGTATCACATACTCTTAAGCATTTGGGTAAGTTTAATGTCAATAATATTTATCTACAGTGTATAAGTCAACGAATAATAGGGGTAATATACGATTGCGAATGGAACGATTGCGAACGGACCTTTTCCGGTAACACGATTGCGAACGTTTTTACCTGCCTTTAATCATGCGGTGTTGTCAGATTTGGTGCCAATAACAAATTTTTAAATAATAATTTTAAAAATAATCATATAGTAATATAAGGATTTTCTGCTATCACGCCGGGCGATAAGATAGATAGGTACGATGTAGAATATCTATAATATTATATCTTTATTAATTTGATGGAAAACCAGCTCAATTCGTATAGTCTGATAGTCGTGCAGTATTATTTGTAATTCAGTCGTATCGTGATCGTTTCGTTTCGTTCTCTTCAATATGGAAATTCAAATAATTATGTCCGAAAAAGGCAAGGAGTTGGTTCTCTTAAATAATTTTAAATACTGTTTTGTTAGAAAACGTAAAGATGGGTATATTAAATGGATCTGTACAAACAAAAATTGCACTGCAAATATTCTAACAACTGCAGATAAGAAGTCTCTGCATCAGTCAACTGGTGAACATAAACATTTAGTTAATAGTCAACAAAAAATTGAACGACAAATATTGAGGGAGAATTGTAAGAGAAAAGCCGACGATAATATTTCTACCAGGCCATTAAAAATTATACGAAATGAATTAATTAAAAATAAGCCGACTGACATAATATATAGTGATATACAATCTGTACGTAAAGCGATGTACGATAAGCGACGTAAAATGTATCCTGTTTTTCCCATATCATTAAACGAAGCAATTTCTCAACTAAAACTGGTGGAAAATAATTGTTGTTTATTTAACGGAGATCAATTTGTTTTTGTTCCGGAAAATGACGAATTTGTTTGTATAACTACAAAAGAAAATTTAAAATTTATGACAACACAAAATGAGTTTTTTGGAGATGGTACATTTGATTTCGCACCAAAATTTTTTTTACAACTTTATACCATACATTCTTACACAAATGGTTTTTATGTGCCTATTGTATATTTTTTTCTTGCAAATAAAACAAAAGAAACTTATTTGAATATGTGGAAATATCTTTTGGAACTATGTCAACGATTTTTTAATTCAACTTTCGATGTTCAAAAACTGCATTTGGATTTTGAATCTGGAGCTCATGAAGCTGCAAAAGAAATATTTCCGAACGTGATGATTGTAAC